AGGGAAAGAAGAAATCTATTAGAAGCCAGACAGTTAAGGGTCACTGGTATATTTTAACACTGGATGTGAACTCAGTATAATGACTTTCCTTTCCATAGCAAAGTCAGTATCTCTCATTCATGTTATTTAATTTTTAGATAAAGTGATTTGTTCATAATTAGCAGAGGCTGTATGAACCATATTGGTTGGCAACACAATAAAGACTTCCTATCGTACCGCCAGTCTTTGTCTTAGAAGTAGTTTTGCAGCAGCATTAACTGTTTTGACAGGATTATAAAAATAGAATTGATATTTCCTGAAATAATATTTTTTCTGTTATAACAACAAATGGTTAGGACAATTAAGAGAGTTATTTTTCCATTGAATCTCATAAAAAATGTTGGGATGCTACCAACAGTAAATGCATTTTATTCTTTGAGAACAAAGGGACGCTGGAGATTGGTTAACTTATGCATATTTTAAAAATAAGAAAAAAAATAGCATTAGTGTAGCTGATTCAGGTAGAATATTTTGGTCTCCTATTGAGAAATCAGCTTAATAAAAGTATTTACTATTACTCTTTTGTACTGATTGTGGAACAGAGTGCTTCACAAAGAACATGTGGCAGCAACCCTGCAAATGATACGGGCATGCACTGCAGAGCCCCTAAGCAACATAAAATTGTATTCTTTAGTCTGATACCAAATAAAAATGAATAAAAATGAATTTTCAACAGTGTTAGGAATGAAGGAATATTAGCAAAATTCAAGATACAAAATGTTGCTAAAATTCAAGATCAATACATGTAAGAGTTTGTGTGTGAATTTTAGCAAAGCACACCAGTGATGTGTTGTAGGAAATAAAGAATTAAAGCTGTGCTCCAACACTGCGGGATTAATATCCCTGATTCTGATGATATTCTCCCCAACTCTCTCAGAAGGCTACTGAAGAAAAATAAACTTTGTCAGATATTTGTATCATCTGTTGGACCCTTAAGAATGAAACTTACTCTTCATAAAGGAAACATTTCCTTTATAATGTACCCATCTATGGAAAAATAGCAGTCATTTAACTAGTAGATGAGTGAAATTTCTAGTGCCCTTACAAAGTTTAGCCATTTCACTTCATTTCAGAAGAAAGAAACTCAGTGGTGTGATATTTTATGAATAATCTCAGTAAATTCATAAATACAGTGTTTCTTTGGCCATCTAAACTCTTGATTTATCCAGCCAGCAACTTTGTTTTATTAACTCATAACTGTTGATGTTGCTTAAGAACTTGTTCTCTTTTAAGTTTTGTATATTTAATATCTGTAATGTTAAGTGGGTATGGTTTTACATTATGCATCATGTGTTAGCACGCAGAATTCCTCACAAGATGCTGTAATGTCACATATTCAAATGGCTTTTGGCAGGTGGTGTCCAAAGGAGTTTGAATAATTAAGGGTGTACTATACTAGAGCATATACAGGTTTTAAGTAAAATATATTAACAGCTGCCATGTGTTTCTGGCCTCCTGTCATTTTTGCCAAAACAGTATAACAAAATAATATCCCTCATTCCTCTCTATACTCATTCCCATTATAATGAGGAGGTTTATCCACTGGCTAATACCATACATTTTGCAAAAACTTGTTAAAACCATGTGCTATACATCACATATATGATCAGATTCTAGTCATAGCTTTGAATTTATTTCTTTTAAAAAGTAAGAGGAGAACATGCAAGAAAATATTTAACACAAGCTTCATAGCAACCTTCCTTGAGTCTGAAAAAGAAGATGCAGCCCGAGCTAAGTTGGTCCAAAAAAAGATATGACCCTCCGAAAAAAACCTAGTCTGTCACAGATTTCCTGGACCCTCATGGCTACAACATCACTCCAACCATAACAGAAATATTTAGGTCATATATGCTCTCCCAGTAAAAACAAGACCAGTAAACAAACAGAAAAAGAATAACTGAGGAAGCCTTAGAAATTGCTGCCAATATGGTATTACCTGCCAAGCAATCAGGTCTTTCAGTTTGTTCAGCTTTTCTTGATCCTCTGGGTGGTTTTTGGTGTACTCATCTGTGAAGAAAGCCTGAAAGGGCATACAAATCAATCAGTCCATCTGCTTGTCATGAAAAATTAGTCCTATCTTCAGTGACTGTATCCACAATCATTACAGAACATTAGAATGTTAAGACATCTGACTTCCTGTAGAGATGCAGCTTGTAGAGATACTTCACTATTAACATAATTGAGGATCAATGGATGTGTCTTGTTCACGGATCTCCATCTTTATTCAATACACCTGTGGTTCTTAGCCCCCCACCCCTCCAAAGTTAGCTTTTTTTCTGTATTTTGACATATAGGTTATGGCTGCATTTGTATTTTGTGTGCTGTAATTTTATTTTATTTAGCTGTGACTCCCCTTTTTTTCTTTGCTTACACAAGACTGCACTTCACACATGACCAGTGAGGTGAGAATTAAGCTTTCTATCTGCCAATACCAAAACAATTCATAACCTGCTACATTATCTATACGTCATACTCCATCCGAAACAGAAAAAGGACAGATAAATAAACCAGGAGCTCTCTTATTACACCATGAGTCACTGCAGGTCTAGGGAAATGTCCTATAGCCAAGTACCTTTTTGAAGTAAGACGAAGACCTTTTAGGAGGATATTTAAAAATCTTACGGAGTCAGAGGGCTTTTTTACGTATGCAAGCACCACAGCACCGGGTACTTTGAAAAGCACACATTGCTGCAGCATGTAGTTGTATAAGCAGCAAAATGCACGGCAGTGCAAGTAAAATGGCAACGAAGTGCTTTAGTTCAAAAGCACATTGCCTCCATTTTTTTGGATGCTGACACATTTCACTGCTCATACAACTGCATGAGGCACAGAGCAATGTACATCAGCTTGCATGCAGAGCAGACTCGATTAATTAAGTCTGCCTTGAAGCAGTGGATCTCCGTTGCATCATGGGACAAAAAGGTACATGTATAAATGCCCAGAGGCTCTAAGGCAGCTGTTTCCAACATGGTGCCCACAGGTGCCATGGATAAATCTTGAAAAGAATACGAAGTAAAGGAAAGCTGCATTTTGAAGTTGCGGATCTAATGCAATTTTAAGTAATGGATTAGATGATTGGATTGATCTAAATTCTGAACTTTAATATTCATATTGGTGCCCTCTTCTTTTTCTTTTAAATTCGAAAGTCCCCTTGGGGACATAAACATTGGGAACCCCTGCTCTAAGGTCTGCATTTATATGTGATTCCTATGTTATGTAGAAGTGGAGGTACTTGGGGATGTATGAATTCAGGAATATCCTCATTGGATCAGACATGAGGTATCTCTAGTACAGTATCCTGTTTCATGAGCTACTTGATAAGTGGAATAAGATAAGTGGATATGCGATAATGCCACTTTAATTCTTATTATAATTTCTAATAATAAAGGATTTACTTAAATAGCAAGACTTGAGGTATCAAATCCCTTCCAACATTTTTGTCTTAAAGATATCTTAGAGTCAAGTTTTCCATAGTTCAGTTCCTCCAATCACTAAGATTCTCTAAACTCTGCTCTCCTGCAGAATTCATTTTTTTAAAAAACAACAAAAACTAATTTGCAGAAAGGGTGCAGCTATTGGAAAAAGTCCTTAACTAGCTAAAAGATGACCTGCCTCTAAATCCTCTAGTGTGTGAGAATCATGGAAAATTAGGGTTGGAAGAAATCTCAGGAGGTCATCTAGTCCAACCCCCTGCTCAAAGCAGGACCATCACCCACTATATCATCCCAGCCAAGGCTTTGTCTACCTGGGTCTCAAAAACCCCTAAAAAATGGAGATTCTACAATCTCTTTCTGGGTAACCTCTTTCCAGTGCTTTACTGTCCTCTTAGTGAGAACGTTTTATCTCATATCTAACTTAAACTTCCCCTGCTGTAACTTGAGACCATTGCTCCATGTTCTGTTATCTGCTGCCACTGAAAACAGTCTAGAGCTCCATCCTCTTTGTAACATCTCTTTAAGTAGTTGAAGGCTGCTGTTAAAACTCCCCTTAGTCTTCCATTCTCCAGACCAAAATAAAACTCAGTTCCCATATGTCCCAGCCCCCTAACCACTTTTGCTGCCCTCCACTGGACTCTCGCTAATTCTTTTGTGTAGTGGGGGGCCCAAAACTGGGAACAGTACTCCAGATGCAGCCTCACCAGTGCCAAAGAGGGGAACAATAATTTCTCTTGATCTGCTGGCAACATTTCTACTAATGCAACCCAGTATGCTGTTAGCCTTTTCCACAACAAGGGCATGCTGCTGGCTCATATTCTGCTTACTGCCCACTAACTCCCAGGCTCCTATTCTGCAGGTTATATTCAATCAATTTCAGGGTGGATAAAAATCAACAATTAAAAAAAATCCAATTTTATAACATTTAAATCAGATTTTGATGTAATCATATTATTATTTTTTGTAATTATGCTTTTTAGAAAAATTAACTGATATAAAGATAGTTTTAATATAAGATATGTTAAACATCAAAGACATCATCATGGAATAGGGATTATAACTTCTCATTATATACCATTTGAGACAATATGTTCATGTAACCTTTTTAGAAATTTTTTATAAACAAGTCACCATAGGCCATGGACTATATTAGGGGCCCAATCTTATGGGGTTCCCAGAGGCTCCTCTATAGATTAGTAAAGATTAAAGACAACCATTCTACCCAATGGGTCTCAGTGCTCTGTCTAGAAGATCCCATTAAGCATCTCTGTGATGCTTAGTTTCAGTTCTCAAACTGTGGAGCTGTCTCTCTAGAGATAACATCCTTGTTACCAGCAGTTTATGGAGATGAGAGATATCAGACCTGATTACCTATCCATTAGTCCTCTTGTCTCACTGCAAGTTTGTGTACACAGAGTCAAGCCTTACCTTTCTCTAAAAGCGCAGTTTCAAAAAGTTAAATGAATATAGGATATCAACCAACAAGAATGCACTTTTTCTGGAAAACACTGATTAAAGCGAGGCTTCCTGACCAGCGATTAAAATCATGATTTAAATAGATCTAATTTAAATCAAATCCACCCTGATCAGTTTACCACAGACTAAGCCTTGCAACAAGAGTAATTGTGCTCTCCCATTTCACATTTATACGGAAACCTCTACATCTGCAGAAAAAGTGGCGTTCGGTTATACTTCCCATATCTGTTCTGTGTCCATATTTAGTTTCCGCTTTTAATGACTCTATGATGGATATAACCAGAATGTGAAGATGGTTAAATTATTGGGGTTCTTTATTTACTTTCCCAACCTACTGCCTGCCATTCTAAATGGTAAGGAAGCAATAGAAGTTCACTTTAGAGAAAACAGGAATATGTTTAAAGTTTAAATCCTTTAAAGTTAACTTAAAATCCTTACCTTCTCATATTTTGCAAAGCCACCCATGACTGCTGGGTCAACAATTCCATTCAGAAGCATGGAGAGAGGGTTAATGGGAAGGTTTTCATCACTCTGGTACTGGTTAATCAACATCAGAATCTTCTCATTTGTCATGGACATTGTCTCAATAGCATTCTCTAGAGGACTAATGGTAGTCTACAAAATAAGGGAAAGAACATTTAATGCGTCTACTTTCCTTCCCACCCCACTTTCATTTATTTTAGTGCACTGGCAAAGCTAGAGGAAATTATATGTTCTGCAGAAGCTTTTGTTTTAAAGCTAGTAAATATTCATATTTGCTGCTAAAAAACTATTAATTGGCAACAATTGTTTACAAATACTTACCTCAGTTTCAGTATGCTAATTGTTCACAGGTAGATTTTGCTTATTATGATTTGCTGATAACAGAAACAGATATGAGTTTGAGTTGCTCACTAAAGGTGTTTGTTATTTGATATTATTACTGTGTGATTTTTCATCTTAGTTGCATGTTATTGTTTCTACTCCCCGTGTTATAAGAGCTAGTGTATTAAAAAAGGGGAAGTCCAAGGGACTTTGATTCTCTCAGGATTGGGGCCCCCGGGTCGGTGCGACTGGTCAAAGTGGGGGCACATCACCGGTGCGCCTGGTCAAAGGGGGGGCACACCCCCCCCCCCCCCCGCCCCCAACTAAGGCGGCACCAGTCGCCCATGAACTTGGCTCTCAGCCAGTACCATGTTGGGAATCGGTGTATAAATGCCCTGAGTTTTAAGATGAGCCTGGTTGGAAGCAGTATCAGACTTAGCTGATTTAAGGTAAATCAGTCATTCAAATCTGTACCCCAGATCCCCTCCCAAGTTACCTCACAGTCTGTTAGCATCCCAGGATGCTTTGCAGCCCTGGGCTGTGCTGTCTGCTCCAGTGGAGCAGGGCCAGCCCCACCCCACCCCCAGCTTTCAGATACCTGAGGCAGTAAGAGGCTCTGCTCCCTAGCGTGTGTCCTGTCTGCACCTGTCAGTCGGGCCAGATTGGTGGGCAGGGGAACAGACCACTAGGCCCCCCCAGTCTGGGTCTGCACAGCATGGGAGGGGCTTTTCTCACCGAGCCCAGCAAGCCCCCTAAGCTGCAAAAGGCCCAGCCCCACCTCTTCACCAGTTGCCAGCCTCTCTGAGAGGTGGGGTTGGAAATGCCCCCTCTGACCTAGCACCAGCTCCCCCTGCTCTTGGCCCAGTAAACTAGGCTGGGAAAGCCACAGCCCCACTCCCTCACCAATCACTGGCCTCTCTTTGGGGTGGGGGGCAGCTGGTGAGGGACTGGGGCTGGGGATTTCCAAGTCCAGTTCACTGGGCTGTAGGTGGGGGGAAAAGCCCCCCCCCTGCCATGGGAGCTTCCACCCCCTTCACCATGCAGACCCTTGCTGGGGGGTCTAGTGCCAGGCCAGGGGACATGTTCCCCCCTCCAGCTCTCAGTGAGGCTGGTGAGGGAGTAGGGCTGGGAAGAGTTTGTCTGCTGGCTCTCCCTCTCCCCATGGCTGAGAGCAGGGGTGGAGGCTTTTGTCCAGTAGCCAATCTCGCATGGTCTGCTGATTGGCTGGGTTTGGTGCAGCATCCGGCATGATGGGAGGTGGGCATGAGTGCTCTCAGGCTTCTAGGGTCAGTGCCATAAAATATATTTCTCAACAGTACTGAAGTCAATATCACAGAGGATACTAAAGATAGAAATACCAAAAATTGATCACCAGTAATTGATTTTGATTGGTGTAGATATAGTACCGAAAAACAAAACAAAACAAAGTACTAATTTCTTTGATGAAAGCTGAGTCCACACAATGGCAACTCAAAGGTCCTCTCCTAGAGGGAGAAGAGAAACAGTGCTAACAGCTAGCACTGGAGCTGTGCTGCTTTGTTCTATAGATAACAAGGAACGATCCAATGGTATCTGCAATTGAATTTTTAAGATTTGAAAAGTGGTATGAGTTCTTTTCCTTCTGTTAAGTTACTGGGCAAGAAAAACACTTACACAATTTCAGTAGATCATGGACAGAAAACACCCATTAACTGTGAAACTACCCAGAACACCTTGTAAACTCTAAGGTGCAGACACCTCTGAAGGCAATCCACATGGAAGTCCTTTAGCCCTAACCACAATGAGGAAAGCTCAGTTCTTGGAGCAAGAGTGAGAAAGCCTGACCACACATTGATGGTTTATTTTCACACTTACAGCAAGGAGTTTCAGTGTGAGTACACTTAGATAAGCTAAGTAAGCAATCACCTAACCACAAGAAATAGCACAGCAATGAAAATATTACCTGGAGCAAAAAAATGTCAGACATGTATCTTAAATCTCAGTAGGAAGTCTGTCAAAAAGAACTGCATACTGAGGCTCTCATTCCAGGTGGACAGAAATAAATGCTTCCAACTCTGGGATTTGACCATCTGCTTTTTCTGAAGTCAAATGCAAAAAAGCCACTTCTGCTAACCTCTAAAACTTTCACCAGCTCCTGCTAAACCTATGTCCAGCTGCAATAAACAAAACAAGATGTCTTCAACAGTATATTCGCCCTTTTTGAGAGGACTTTAAAAATATTAATATGATTAAAATGAACATTGTATATTCATGTTCATGTTTGTATAGAGGAAGGATAGAATAGAGCGAAACAAAATGATCCATTCTTGGTGGATCTTTAAGAAAAAAATAATTTAAAAATAACATATTTCAGTATCACTCTCCTGGATTTTTATTAAACCAGTTATCTTCAGGACATCTGAACAGAAGAAGGGCTAGATGGTCTAAAGAACACTTTTACTACTGTTGCAGATTCCATCTCTGAATGTATAATCCCTTTGTCTAAATGTCATCACTATCATTAGTGACAAAGTAACCAAGAAATCACAAATGGAAGTGAAGAATAACAGGGAGAGAAGATGAGCTTTAAAGAAACTGAAATGCTGCTTTCAAGTGGTTGTCCTCAGTAACAGATAACAAGGAAAAGACCAGAAATACCTGGGGTGAGGAATAATAATAATTTCTTGTTCTAGCAGGACATACTTTTGAAATGCAGCCTCCCAACACTCAGTGCCAAATTATGACATGCGGAGGCCCTAAACTGTGTCCAGCTTAAGATATAAGATAAGATAAAAATAATACTTTATTATTTTCACAGAAAGGACACCGAAAATATAAATATGAAAGCTTTATATCTGCATAAATACAAAAGCTAAGGCACAAATAAAACATTATAATCTAACATAAAACAAATTTATGAACTCAATATGAATAATAATGGGAGACAGATATATGTATATTTTTGTCATATTAGAATGAAAATGTCCATATTTAGAGAGTAATTTTCCTATATCTCCTTTATTTACCAACCGATTATTATAAAATTTGATAACGAGTCAGTTTTTTTTCTTATTTAGAGGCCCCTCATATTGTGAGGCCCTAAACTGTAGCTTAAGCAGCTTAAACCTAAATCTGGCACTGCCAACACTGAGAAATGGAAAAGTCAGTGTAGCAATACAGTTTATTATATCAGAAATAAGAACTCTTGTTACATTTGTCAGCCTTCTCTCTTGTTAACTTTCCTTTTTAGATAAAAACACAGTGAGTTTGATGTCTGTTCTGAAGCTAAGGTAACTCCACCAGATCTCTCAGAACATGCCTGTTTCTATTTGTATTCAAGCAGCAGCAAATTGGATTTTGTTAAAATAGGAAATAGTAAGAGAACATCCCATATTTGTCTAACTGTTATTTATAGCTAGCAGTGTATTCTGTTCTCTCTTTCTGTTGGAGGCAGGAGGAGAGTGAGAGCTGGCGAGCACAGAAAAGGCAGATACTATGTCAGTGCTCAAGCTGGGAAAGGAGGCAGTGAAACAGTGACAAAAGTCATGCTGCCATTGAAGAAAGAAAGGTAGTACCATGTTCTTCCCTGTAAATCTTGTAGAAGACTCTGCTCCACTGTGTGAGAAGGAAGCGGGAAAGGGTTTTGTTACATCAGTAAAAAGGACGTTCACCAAACCATCAGCAAGCTGTTAAGGATGCAGAGATTGTATAGACAGTAATAGATATTAAACAGTAATCTAATTTTACAGGTATGAGAGAATAAAGGTATGTCTATACAGGACAAGCCAGAGACATGCCATGAAAACTCCGAATCAGAAGCAGTGCAGCTGCAATAGAGCAGCATTCTGGTTGGGCCAGTAAACCGAGAGGCACAGCTTAGTAGCCAACATGAAGCACCTCATTAATGAGGCTCCTGCTTCTAGTTCAACTGCAGCATGCATCTGTGCCACAAAGACAAAACCCTGGTCTGGATAATGCTCAGGACAAAAACCAGTTTATATGAAGTTAGGGCATGAAGGAACCTCACAGACCCCAGAGTGTTCCCAGATTCTTTCCTGATCCCAACAGTGTTCTCCCAGTGGTAAATCAGAATTTGTGTAACACTTATGAAAGAAATGATGGCTTTCTATTTAATTTAATGAATAATTTTAGCTTATAAAATTAGAGAGACCCGTGCTGCATATAGAATGGCATAGGGCATGCATGACACTTTTCTGGCACTTCTCTCTCGCCTTCTTCCCAAAGAAGCTTGCCATCTTCTGTTAGTGGGAGATGGTAAGAAAGCAGCAAGGAGAAGAGACAGCAGAAAACAAGAGGAAAAGAAATCAGCTTTTGAAAAGCAGCATCACTCCCAGAACTCGGATCAGTTTCTGACTTTCTGCAGTGCTCTTTCTGTTGTTATGATAAGGTTCAAGTCCAGATTACACCTGAGCAGAGACTACTAAGAAAAAGCTAACAAGGAAGTTTTGATAAAGTATATAAAGAGGAAATAAAATCTTGTGCCAAGCACAGGGAGTATTGTTCAAAAAGCACTGATTCTTATAGTTGTAGAAAAGCAGGGTGTTATAGAGAGAAGGAGGGAGAGCACAGAGCCGGAGTAAAGTGTGGCTGGAATGTGAGGAAAATATGAGGACAGGCCAGTTATTGTGGGCCAGCAACACCAGCTGTTTCAAAGTGACATGGGTTTTCAGAGAGACATGGGCCTGTTCAGTCTGAAGAAGAAAAGACTCAGAGGTGACTTGGTGACAGCCTATCAATATATAAAGGCCAGGATAACGATATATCAGGGCCTGGGATAACGCCTGTTCACCAGGGCTCTCCAGGGGAAGACA